ATTCATAATATTTATATATATATATATATATATATATATATATATATAAATATATAAATATTGTATATATATCGTACAAAAGTAATACTATTTTACTTGTTTTCAGTATAGTATTGCTAATACTTTACTAATTTTTCACAATTTTTTGTACAATTGTTTATGACGATTAGCTACTGCTTCTAGGAAACTGGCATACACTAGCATCTAGAACCACTAGAATTTGTTACTTCTTTATCGAAATTTTACGATCTATACCACGATGTTCCATGTTGGCCCCATTCATTCTGCATTAATACTTTTCCCAGAACAGATCGATAATTGCTAGAGTTCACAGGGTTTAATCATGTAAAATAGTTTTAGAATGTTGACAGTGGTCTCCGTATCTTTATTTTACAAGCCTCATCCGGTATTATACAAATTTTGTTAAAAAATCTCTTCATATAACAAACCATTTGCGAGTAATATGAAGAAGCAAAATCAAGTGACATGACCTGCCTTTCTATTTGCGAAGAATAAGTTTCGTTATCTTTTCGAGGATTCTGAATCTTCGCGACATTGGTAAGAGAGTTGCATCAAACTTTATGGGAATCCAATTCGTCCAGAAAATTCACCTGATCCAATCTCAAACCTGAACTGGTGATCCGAAACAAAGGCGTCCCACGTACGATTTGTAAGAGCACAAAATAGTAATCAATCTCGAAAGAAAAATGATCTCAGACAGTTGTGGATTAGAAGTCTGAGCAGACACATTGTATACTCAGCCAAATATTAGTCCGATGTCTGAGTCCTTAATCATTTGTTGATTACCATCAAAAATTAAAAACATGAGAGATCCACGAAACCCTTCGAACTGAGACACTATTTCAAATTATTCACGTTCACTTATCGGATTTCATCGAACTGCCTAATCTTATCTGACGCTGCATTCGTATTATTTAATCTGACTCGTGTTTTTATCAGTCCGAGAGCTATCCGTCAAAGCAATTATTGAAAATCAAATCTCTCTTAGTAGTGACGGAATTTGCGGCTTCATTCATCCAATGACTCGTCGAAAGCTATCATGTCATACTGGCGAGAAGATCAGTGAAAATGGTTCGAAATATTTACAGTAAATTCTCCCTAATTGACGCGAAGCTTGTACACAAAAGTGGACAATTTGGGAAGAGGAGATACGATTATTCGAGCCTTGCGGCTTGTTTTTATAGTTGTTGACGATCGGTAACTAATATATATATATATATAATAATAATAATCGTATCACCTCTTCCCAAATTTTCCATTTTTCTGCACAGTCTGAGCGTCAATTAAGGAGAATTTATTGTAATTTGTAAACCGCGCCGTGGTTCTTCGTAACCATTGACCAACCGGAAAGTACCTGAAAATAAATAGTTTTATCAACGATGTTCGTGATACCAGGACTAGCAATATCTACGATCGATGGACAGTATCTCCTAACACCAGTGCCACACGCAGTATCTGCCAGGAACTTGCGGCGTGTGTTAGTTCGTTAGTAATCGGACGTGTTGTGAAGTAATCAGTTAAACATTTATCAGTTGAACATTCGTTATTGAAAAAGTAATCCTTTTATTTTTTATTTGTTATCGTGTACAAAAGTTTTCGGAAACGTGAAATAAATACACTACCGGCGGTAAGTTAAAGAGTGTTACTTTTGTATGGTACAGTCGCCTTGGAAAGTACGTTAATGTCTTTTCGAACGGAATAACTTTTTTAAAATTAGTTCAAAGCAGTTGAATATTTTTGAGATGTTAGACCGACTAGTTTTCTTCTATGAAATGGGTATACAAAATGTTTTTTAGATTGCAATTGATTGGAATGATAAAAAAGTTAAAAAATGATGTTTTTTTAAACTTTTTTATCTACAGCCACTGAAAGATGTAAAAATTAGCTGGTTTTGCTTGAAATTCGTGAAAAACTGTCCAGGTCAACCGATTTCGATGAAATTCTCAGCACGCGTATAAGTTGAGTATGATCTACAAAATGCGTTTTATAAATTTTTGTTATGGGCTCAGATAAAAAACTTTAAAAAACATCATTTAAAACATTTTTTTATTATTCCAATCAATTGCAATCTAAAAAACTTTCTGTCTACTCGTTCCAAAGTAAACTAATCGGTTTGACATAATCGGTTCTTTGAACCAATTTTAAAACAGTTTCTGTTGAAAAGGCGTTAACGTACATTTCGAGACGACTGTATGTCATTTTGGCTGTATAAAGAACATTTTTCTCTGGAACGTATACGTAATTTTCAGACATTGTAGAGTGAAACTGAAAGAACTTGCTGAAAGAGTGTGCACAGAGTATGATTGCTAAAATAATGTGATAAATTAGTTTTAAAAGTTTTGGTTTTATTAAGTTGACGGCAATGTAGAAATGACGTTCAATTCCTCTACATTTCCTTCTAATGTTTGTGGTCACACTAGTAATTTTTGTCATAAATATATACAAAGTAAAACGTTGTATGTAGACGATGATGATAATGGTGACGATAATGGTGATAATTACAACAGTTCGGTCTAAATACAAAGAATACGATTGAGATATAATTGACGCGGACGCTTAGAATTTTATTGATTTCATCTACTTTATAGATATTAAACTTCATAATACAGTCAAGGTTTTTTCAATCGATTTGCTATGTCACTGAATAATTTATTAATGACATTTGTTCCAATTTAAACGTTAGCACGTTCATAAAGATATTATTGTTTTTTTTTCTATCGCTTCTTCCTTTATCCACTTTTTAAATGTTCCCACAAATGCGCCATTAGTAACGATACGATCGTGGCAGCGTGGCGGAGGCCACTATAATAACTAAACTGCTTATGTTTGGTCTCTTAAAATATATTAAAGTATGCAGATACGTATAGTACATAAAACATATACAATAATATAATAATACATTGTGCAAGAAGTATGTGAGATAGTCGCTAAGCGTATTAAAAGTACACTATAATAATAGCAACTTCGCTTGCTATCGACATCCAAATATGCCGCTAACTGTAAATAATACTGTGATTACAGAATCGACTTGTGTATCTCCTGAAATAAATTGAGTTGCGAAGGATGCTAGATCAGAGGGTCGATTGAAGTAGGAATAAATTAGTTCTCTCGAAAGTTCAAGAATAATGGCACCATTTTTCTCGAGCAAGGACCGCGTTCCATTTACCGGGCAACATGACTGCGAGCCGGCGAGCAAAGAGACGAATTTCAAAAACGAGAGAGTGCCGGAGACTGAAGATTTTCTAACGGTCGACAAGAATTACCGGAGCAGCAAGACAAAATACGTTCCTCGGATCAGGTGGCCGGACCTCGTAGCGCAGATTTTTATTCACGCCGGCTGCGTTTATGGGCTCTATCTCATGTTGAGTCAAGCGAAACTTCTCACTAGTCTATGGGGTGAGTGTTTTGAACATAACGTTTGTAATTATATGTAGACAACCAATCCTTCCACGTCTAGAAAAATCAATTAAAATAGGACATTAAGCTAACATTTTAATCTGTATATTTTTTTTCTTGGACGTTCAGTGGTTCATTGACCGTTATCAAAATAATGGTATCGATTCTACGCACGAGACAGAATTTTCAACATAATTTTTGTATTTATTATATACTTGACCCCATATAGAAATTGATGTCATAAAAAATATGTCGTGACCTTTAATGACCTTCACTTATAGGTCATCGTTGATAACAATGAAATTGCATGCTTGCGTCAGATTTTGTTCGTTGTTATTCGATAAATGACGTTGCGTGAATGAAGGGAAGACGAGGGTCGATACTTCGTTTCCTACAAAACGGACTTGACATCAACAGAATGATCGAGTCTAATGAATAAATTTCCGATTCCGTTTGAATTCGAAATTCTCGTTTCTACGTCTGCAAAATGCGTGTTCATCTTTATTGGTAATAACATCTGCATACAATGACACTGCATGCAAGAATCAGAAGTAATGAAAAATGAACCATTATTAAGTATTAGATTGCGCAATTAATTATACGAACCAATGATATGATTCTTTCGGAATATCACCGTACTTTGCATATTTCTAATAAAATTTTTACATATTATATTTTTTATGTATATAATTTTTACATATTATAGTAGTGGGACCTACCCGTGCGCACATACAGGCAGCAGCTTGATGAGTCCTAAAATTATTGTATTTCTAGGAACGGATGAGTTCGTGAGATCATTTGAAGTAACTTTTTCCTTAACGAAAATGCGATCCGCGGCTTCGTTTACGAGTTATTAACGAAAAACAGTGACCAATGAGCGGCGAGCTTGGCTGGCGCGCGGCGGCCGAGCCAACGAGTGCACGGAGCTCGGTTCCGCTCATTGGCTTGGTCGCCCAGCGCCGAACGAACTCGCCCCTCATTGGTCAGTGTTTTTCATGAATAATTCGTTAACGATGCCTCGAAGAAAATTTTTGTAAAGGAAAAAGTTGCTTTAAATCACCTCAGGAATCCCTCATTTCTCGGAAATACCATAATTTTGGGACACCCTGTAGAAATTTTCTTTTCTTCTGATCGGCTGCCAATTCACTGCCGAGACAGGATCCATTACGGATTGGAAGCGCAGTAAAGCTTAGGGATTACTAAAAGTGTGCAGGAGTAGGTCTTATTACTGTACTTAACACTAGATTTACGGAACCCGTCAAAATGGCGGGTCACTAATTTTTTAATTTACGATTGTTCATATCGTAAAAATACATTTATGCGTTATTTATTCGATTTATATGTTAATTACGGTAATGATGGCTTTTCACCTGAAACTTTAAGAATGTTGAGTGCATTTCACCCGTCCAAGCGTTAAAATATAAGTATACCCGTCGCATATTTATAAAGTCAGAGCCATAAGTGCAAGCAACGTATATGTAGTTTACAAAGAACACCGTACAGTTTCATAAATAAATTTATAAATATAGCTAAATATACTCTCCCACAGCTTTCGTGACTATAGTCATTTCCGCATTCGGTATCACTGCTGGCGCTCACAGGCTATGGTCCCACAGAGCTTACAAAGCAAAATGGCCGTTGCGATTACTTCTAATCTTTCTCTTCACAATAGCCGGTCAGGTAAGCAAATTGGCTCCTAACTTTTCTATCATCCTTTTTCTGTGCGTCTCACTTTGTCCTTCGTGACGAATATCCAGAGCTGCGTAAAATAATATTTAAAAAAAAAAACGCGGCAAATAGTAAATAAATAGATATTTTATTTTAGATCATGCGTGTATCTTTGAAAATAAGATATAAAAGTAAAATATTTTATTTGTTGTGAAACAAACAACTTTGGATCTATTTGAATTACCATTTTATATGAATTGTGAAGTCTATTATTTATAATAATATTTTTTTCTCCATAAATATTACCAAGCTCTTGTCGTAACAGTCTCCTGACAATGGTTTCGAGTCCGAATTTTGTTATGAAAGAAAGTCATTGCACCGGAAACCGCAACATGATTAATGGCCGCGATTTTATATGAATTATGAAGAGTCTATTATTTATAATAATATTTTTTTCTCCATAAATATTACCAAGCTCTTGTCGTAACAGTCTCCTGACAATGGTTTCGAGTCCGAATTTTGTTATGAAAGAAAGTCATTGCACCGGAAACCGCAACACGATTAATGGCAGCGATTATAGTAAGTTTGGTGTTCGAATTTTGAAAGTAAACGGAGCTCGTTTGTGCAGAGGCACGTTTACGCGTGGGCGTTGGACCACAGAGTGCACCACAAGTACAGCGAGACGAATGCCGACCCTCATAACGCGAAAAGGGGTTTCTTCTTCGCGCACATCGGCTGGTTGTTCACGACGCCTCATCCGGACGTCGTTTCGAAACGGAAAGCTGTCGACATGAGCGACCTGGAGGCCGACTCCATCGTCATGTGGCAAAAAAGGTAATAAATAATGCAGTAAATTCTCTTCAATTGTCCCTCAGCTTGGACAAATTGGACAATTTGGGAAAAGGGGCTACGATTATTCGAGCCCCGCGGCTCGTTTTTATAATTGTTGACAATCCTCTTCTCCATTTTTGTTTACAAGCTGGGGAACAACTTCAGACAATTTATACAATACGATCAGTATTAAATAATTTCTATTTAAAACATGCGCGAAGTAAGACTGATATAAGTAACAAGTAAGAACGAATCAATTGATGACGAAAGGTACAATGAAAAAATGACGACAGGATAAATATCTTTTTCATTTGCAGACTCTATATTCCTCTGTTTTTCCTGTTCACTATTGCTCTGCCGGTCAGTGTGCCATGCTACTTTTGGTCCGAATCTTTGTGGACCTCTTTTTGGGTGAACTTTAACTTCCGGTTCTGCGTGACCCTAAATGTAGCCTTTTGCGTGAACAGCGTAGCGCATATGTGGGGCGACAAACCGTACGACAAGTAAGTCCGTTCAACTTTTTGATTCATCAGCTTGCTAATTAACACTATGCCGTCTGGTGGCATCACGCTGGTGCCATGCAAAAACTATCTATTGTATGCCGGTGGTACCACTTTGGTGCCATTTTAAAAAACTGAAATAACATTTGAACTATATTTCTTGGGTGTTGAAAGGCAGCAAAGTAACTATAGCATTGTGCTTATTTAACTAAGAATTAAGTACGAAAATTCTTGGATGACATATCTTAATTTTAGGAATTTATATTACCGCCATCTTCGAAATTCTTTTTAAAATCTAAAATTTCCAAGCTATTATGCCGGCGTCAAATAAAAGAATCATATCTGAGATCTGCGGACGGCATAGTGTTAATTGCGAATCGCTTTAAGCAAGCGACGATACAAATTATGATTTCGTATGGTTCCTACAGGGTGTCCCGTAATTATGTTAACACCCGGAAAGGGATGATTCCTGAGATCATTCGAAGTAACTTCTTCCTTAGCGATAATGCAATTCACGGCATTGTTTACGAGTTACTAACGAAAAACAGTGACCAATGAGTGGCGAGCACGGCTGGCGCGTGGCGGTCGACCAGCCAACGGGCGGTCGAAGCCCAATTCCGCTCATTGGTTTTTTGAAGATTGAACACTGTTGTTACGGCCAAGTGGCCAGGATTTATGGCAGGGGCCATGTGCTTGGGTACCCGGACGGTATGGGTCTGTCCCGGGCCGTTCCCGGGCACATGTGGCACCGTCATAACGTCTCCTGGTCCTTGATTACGGTCCAGTCAATGACGGTTGGGTCTGGCATTGTTCGGGCACGTAGGCCCATCAGTGCGGGATGTCTCGCAGGAGATATTTTACCACTCTCCCTCCTAACTCCCGGCCCACCGTTTTGGGCAGTCTCACTGGATTTGGGATTGCAGTGATTGGACCGTAATTCCTTGCCGCCCACCCTAGNCGAAAAGGGGTTTCTTCTTCGCGCACATCGGCTGGTTGTTCACGACGCCTCATCCGGACGTCGTTTCGAAACGGAAAGCTGTCGACATGAGCGACCTGGAGGCCGACTCCATCGTCATGTGGCAAAAAAGGTAATAAATAATGCAGTAAATTCTCTTCAATTGTCCCTCAGCTTGGACAAATTGGACAATTTGGGAAAAGGGGCTACGATTATTCGAGCCCCGCGGCTCGTTTTTATAATTGTTGACAATCCTCTTCTCCATTTTTGTTTACAAGCTGGGGAACAACTTCAGACAATTTATACAATACGATCAGTATTAAATAATTTCTATTTAAAACATGCGCGAAGTAAGACTGATATAAGTAACAAGTAAGAACGAATCAATTGATGACGAAAGGTACAATGAAAAAATGACGACAGGATAAATATCTTTTTCATTTGCAGACTCTATATTCCTCTGTTTTTCCTGTTCACTATTGCTCTGCCGGTCAGTGTGCCATGCTACTTTTGGTCCGAATCTTTGTGGACCTCTTTTTGGGTGAACTTTAACTTCCGGTTCTGCGTGACCCTAAATGTAGCCTTTTGCGTGAACAGCGTAGCGCATATGTGGGGCGACAAACCGTACGACAAGTAAGTCCGTTCAACTTTTTGATTCATCAGCTTGCTAATTAACACTATGCCGTCTGGTGGCATCACGCTGGTGCCATGCAAAAACTATCTATTGTATGCCGGTGGTACCACTTTGGTGCCATTTTAAAAAACTGAAATAACATTTGAACTATATTTCTTGGGTGTTGAAAGGCAGCAAAGTAACTATAGCATTGTGCTTATTTAACTAAGAATTAAGTACGAAAATTCTTGGATGACATATCTTAATTTTAGGAATTTATATTACCGCCATCTTCGAAATTCTTTTTAAAATCTAAAATTTCCAAGCTATTATGCCGGCGTCAAATAAAAGAATCATATCTGAGATCTGCGGACGGCATAGTGTTAATTGCGAATCGCTTTAAGCAAGCGACGATACAAATTATGATTTCGTATGGTTCCTACAGGGTGTCCCGTAATTATGTTAACACCCGGAAAGGGATGATTCCTGAGATCATTCGAAGTAACTTCTTCCTTAGCGATAATGCAATTCACGGCATTGTTTACGAGTTACTAACGAAAAACAGTGACCAATGAGTGGCGAGCACGGCTGGCGCGTGGCGGTCGACCAGCCAACGGGCGGTCGAAGCCCAATTCCGCTCATTGGTTTTTTGAAGATTGAACACTGTTGTTACGGCCAAGTGGCCAGGATTTATGGCAGGGGCCATGTGCTTGGGTACCCGGACGGTATGGGTCTGTCCCGGGCCGTTCCCGGGCACATGTGGCACCGTCATAACGTCTCCTGGTCCTTGATTACGGTCCAGTCAATGACGGTTGGGTCTGGCATTGTTCGGGCACGTAGGCCCATCAGTGCGGGATGTCTCGCAGGAGATATTTTACCACTCTCCCTCCTAACTCCCGGCCCACCGTTTTGGGCAGTCTCACTGGATTTGGGATTGCAGTGATTGGACCGTAATTCCTTGCCGCCCACCCTAGATCAAGAGAAGTAGGAAGGACCGAGGTCATATTAGGCAGGACTCCGGTCCTCTAGGACAGAATAGACAGACTCACAGATAGACTAACATCAGAAGACCTTCAGACAGAACAGATAGAGAGATACGCGTAACGCTTAGGTTGCGCGTTACAAATAGAGTCCCACTACAGTGGGTGGTCCTTCGAGGTAGTCGGCACCAAGTGCAATATTCAGAGGAGCTCCGTCATCCATCTGATGAGTCCTCAACAACTGTAAAACGTTAGATTTTATTACTTTCATAAAATACCATAATATTTGGCGCGTCCAAAATATTAATAAGTGTGGGTAATACCCACACTTACCCTAACGTACAGTCGTTTAGGATCGTTTGCCCTTGATTGACTCGGTTCGAGAATTTTCGAACTGGTATTTCTAGGCTCTGAACAGAGAAGAAGCGCCAATGGCACAGTATGAAAACCACTTTCCAACGAAATTTGCATTTTACAAAGCTTCATTTGCATTTGAAAACATACAGCGTTTCTTCGCTAAACGAATAAACTACCGCAATAATTCACTGTTCTTCTATGAGTGAATTTTAAACATTTCCAGGTTCATCTCGCCGGTGGAAAACGTGATGATTTCCATAGCAGCTTTGGGCGAGGGTTGGCACAACTTCCACCACGTGTTCCCATGGGATTACAAGACGGGGGAACTGGGAAACTACAGATACAACGTGACCACCGGCTTCATCGACGCCTTCGCGAATATTGGCTGGGCATACGACCGGAAGTACGTGTCTCCAGCGATGGTGCGACGAAGGGCGAACCGATCTGGCGATGGCACCCATGTTTGGGGCTATGGTGACGCCGATATCCCAATCGAGGATCTTCGGGAACTGAAACAGATGAACTAGATCAAAATATAATTTATTTCTCGTTCGAGAACGGGAGCATCTCAAGTTTTCGAAAAGTGGACCAAAGAGACCATGAAAATCGATCGACATCTTGTTCAAAGAGAGAAAGAGAGACATATTCTCTCGTGGAATGATATCGGTGCACAAAATATGGTACAATCCCGATGTTAATTGTTTCGGATTGAAAGCAAGCTACGGTACCGATTTTAGCGGTACGAACATAAATTAGTTCGAGAAGCTTGGAGCTTCGTGTGCAAAGAAGCGTACGAAGTCTGGATTGGTGTAACGTCTCGGAGTGCTGTTCAGCCTCCTCGTTCGTATCGTGTTCGTGTGAAATGTATTTTATCGTTAATTGGTCATAGATAGAAATAGTGGTGTTTGCGGAATGTCGTACTTGCGAGTTAACGACACGAGAGAGAAAGCAGTCGCAATCTTCTCCGAGCTTCTCGTTTCGTGAGCTAAGAAAAATAGAGATATTTTTATACATATTACAGTAAATTCTCCCTAATTGACGCTCAGCTTGTACAACAAAATAAGCAATTTGGGAAGAGACTCGTTTTTGTAGTTACCGATTGTCAACAGCTATAAAAACGAGCCACGAGGCGTGAATAATCGTATCTCCTCGTCCGAAATTGTCTATTTTTGTTTCCAAGCTGGGCGTCGATTAGGGAGAATTTACTGTATTATTCCTTTCACTGCCTTCACACAGGAACTATTTCAAATTAGAGCAAAGGCAGAACAATGGAAAGTGCAGTATGATTAATTGATGATTAATTAATAAGCGTACTTAATAAATGAAAAAAAGGACAAATATAGCGACAAATTATTTTTCAAAGTGTGAATGTAATCGTTCTGTTTGATCCTTCTACAATTCCACTGGAAATATTAATTCCTTGAGAGCTTTTCTGCGAGAAAAATTTGTTTACACGATTAATGTACTCACCGTAATTCATTTATACTGTCGATAATACCGGTTAAAAGAGGACACATGATTATAAATAAAACATAGGCAAACTTTGAACATAGGCAAGGAGCAAGAACAAATTAAGTTACAATCGCAGACAATAATTCATGATGTATCGTGAATATCGTGTTCAACGGACCACTTGAGAGTTATTATATATCTGACCAATAAATATCGAAAAGATTACGAAAGTGAGAATCTGTGGAATTAAATATTTGTCGACGCGCCGGAAACTGATGGAGTCATAAAGGAATTTTATCCAGCTTTGTTACGTTTCTCTCTCAATAAATTGTAATTTACATCATGAAATGGTTTCAATTTAACCTTTCCAGAATCGTGCATCTTTTACTATGATTCCTTTGGATTCAAGATAACATTATATGATCATTTATTATATTTTCACTGCTTCTCATACATGTCTCCTGGTTTTCTATATGTACTGTTTGAACGTGTGTGCACTTTTGCTAACGGGTTTCCAACTAATAAAAAATTTCCGGTAGTGCAATTCAAACATGTTTCAGACACAATTTTATCAGTATTTAGTGGACTACATGTTTGTATATTCTTAAATCTCAACAAATGTTTTTCACGTAGAAATTTCAAGATATACACTCTGTATACTTTGATATATTTTTACTAAATTATATACTTTATAAAAGTGTTGTATATAAACAAAACATGAAAAAAATCAAACATACACACTACAATTATAGGCAATTATAGGCACAATTATAGACACGGCCTAATACTTAAATAGAATGATCATTTGTAATGTCACGTCACTTTAGGCTTCACTCAATTCTCGTTTTTTCTCCGGAATTTTCAGACTGCAAGAATTCGGAAAAGATACCATTTGATTTTTTGATAGCAGAATACTTGTTCGCACTTGTGACGCGTGCTGCGATATACAGTAAATTCGCCCTAATTGACGCTCTGATTGTACACAAAAATGAGCAATTTGAGAAGAGCAGATACGATTATTTGAGCCTTGCGGCTCGTTTGTATAATTGTATAACGCTCGAATAATCGTATCTCCTCTTCCCAAATTGTCCATTTTTTTTTGCACAATCTGGGGGTCAATTAGGGAGAATGTACTGTACTTACGATTTAAGGTGTTCGTAATATACGAAAATTCGATCAATGCTAGGCATTGACATTGTGCGTACCGTATAAAAAATAAAGGAAATGACGGTGTAAAATGGACTATAAATGAATTCGTGAGGCCACGAGGTCAATCGACGTGGCACGAATCCGGTATTTGTCGTTGTAGTTGGTTTCGGGTCTTCCAGAAGCTCGTTTCGCACTACAAGAACCTAGGTAAAGTTTGTCGAAACGGGTTGCTTGGCTCGCGCCGATTTTTCAGTCTCGTGGTTCTCGTCTTTTAGAATCTCTGACTCAAGGTCGTCGTGGAGCTCTAAGCGGCGAACGTTTCGGATGTTAGAACGTCACTATCGATATTGTTTGCCGCCGAAATTTCGTGCGACAGAAATAGGAGGGAACAAGTGAAAGATTCAACAACGATCACTCGAGTTTTCCATTTTTGTTGACTCTATTCCGGATTTTACGAGTGCAATACTGTTTGTTTGTGGTACCAGGATGGCGAGCGACAAGAAGCCCGGGAAGAAGCAGGAAATAAAATGGGGAGCCGTGTTGTGGTACATTCATCTCCACTTTCTTGGTCTATACGCCCTCTGGCTGACGCTGACTTCCGCTAAATGGATGACCGTATTCTTTAGTAAGACATTTTACGATCTTCGACACTAATGTGACTCGTATTAATTACTATTAATACTATTAATACTATTATATAATTACTATTATTACTATTATTGTCTTTTCGAATGGAAATGAACCATCGCTAAACATGTTTAACTCTGGGTACCCGGGTGCCCGATTACTATAATTCCTTTAGCGATATTTCATGCTTTTCTGAAAAAAATCACTGTTTCCAATGTCCATTCTTTGTACAATATTATGCCAATCTACAAGGCGTCCCAAAATTATGTTACTTCCGGGAGATGAGGGGTTCCTGTAGTCATTTGAAGTAACTTTTTCCTTACTGAAAATACAATCCGCAGCTTTGTTTACGACTTATTAACGAAAAACACTGACCAATGAGAGGCGAGCTCTTCTGGCACTGAGCAACCGAGCCAACGAGCGGACGAAGCCTAGTTCCGCTCATTGGTTCGGCCGTTTCGCGCTAGCTGATCTCGCCTCTCATTGGTCACTGTTTTTTATTAGTAACTCGTTAACAACGCTTCAGAGAAAATATTTGTAAAGGAAAAAGTTACTTCAAATGACCACAGGAACCCCTCATTTCCTGGAAGTAACATAATTTCAGGACATCCTACATATTTTTTGGATAAAAGATTTGTGCAAAATATCTTAAATATTGAAGCTTAAAAATTACTCGGACGTTTGGTTGCTAACATAAGCGTGAAATCAAAAACTGAGGAAAATACGTTCAGAAATGTCTATAAAACAAGTGACCTATTTAATTCCTTGTCTTGCACAACTTTGCAGAATATAATATCCCCCCCCCCCCACCACTCCACGAAATTATCGACGAAAACTAAATCTTACTTAATTTCTTCATTTGCCTGTAATTTGTTAATCGTACGTTAATGTTAATTAGCTGCCTTGTGTACAAGAAATTAAATCGCACCTATAACGTCAGCATTGATAAAGTATTATAATGATCATTCTCTCTGTATTGCTGTATGTTTATACATTAATGTTTCATTAAATATTTTGTTTAATATGGAACAGTATGATTCGTGAAAATTATGCAATATATTACCGCGGTTCGATGGCGATCACATGTGTGTTGGATATTAAAAGCAACGTGTTATAACACGCAGTCAACGCTAAATAAAAATTATGTTACTGATCAAGACTATTTCTGCTATATTTATATATTATAAAATCGAGGAAATGAAATCCAGCGACCAGATCAGTAATTTGCAATTAATGTATTGCATATCTTCAATTATGTGGGACAATTTGAAATACGTAAATCCTCATTTGTCAATTTTCTTTTTCATTTACGAGTAAACGCGCGCGCGCGCGGTGCTCGTCAGCGCGAATTTCATCGCAAAGAACGTTTAAACCGAATCTCGTGCATTTTGTGACACTAAAAACGAATCTGAAAACCGTTCCTCTCCGTCATCCTGTTGTTTGAGAATTTTAGAAGCTAATTTTACAAATTATGTTTGCTCTAACTATAAAAGTTATACGATTGATTTTACACACTCGAGCAAATACAGTAGCACATTTTTTTTAACGAAATTATAAACATTTTAATTCCTTTGAACAACGTTCAAAAAAGATGAGACTGTACGAAAAGAAATTGAAAGCATTATTTCGTCATCGATTGACAAAATAAAATATTTTCATCGGAGAGTTTTAATGCTAACTACCACCTCGTGCTCACTTTAATAGTTATTGTTGTGTTTTTAATGAAATATTTACTGTCAGAATCTTTTTTTTCATCAGTTGTTAGAGCAAATATCCAGTAGATATTAATGTATTAAACCTAGTGTCGTAGCATGTGCAACATCTATCTGCGAACAGTGGTTATGAAAAAATAAAAAAAAGCTATCATTCTGACGACTATTCTAACAGAAGCAATGGACAATGTTTCTTCTAAATTGCAGCACTTTTTATAACAATGATTGGCTCTCTGGGCGTGACCGCTGGCGCCCACAGATTATGGGCACACAGATCTTTTGAGGCATCGACAATGCTCAGAACCTTCCTCATTTTGGCTCACACTCTCGCTGGCGTGGTAAGTGTCTCAATATGATACTGATTTAAAAATGTTAATTAAATGCCTGCATGATCATCCACATCGTTTAGACGAGGTTACATTGTTGAAGCTGTATGGAAAAATACTGCAGCATGTAACAATTGTAAAGATTTTAACTTATGCAGTAACTATGGGATATAAGATTTATATATTTGTCAGAAACAATGCGTGAAAAGAAAGATATGTTACAAAAAAAAATAGTAAGATTTCATCTAATATAATAATCTTTCAATTTTTCACTAAGCCATCCATTGCGATATTCTTTCTTCGTGAAGAGAACAGCAACTTAACGAAGTTTTAAATCTGTGACGTTTTACCAAAAACATACCTAAATTACTACTATTCTATTTATTACGTCATATTTATTCGTAGGCCTAGAAACACGGTATGTAAAGCTTTTATTTATTCATTCTCGCGGCTAAGAATCGGACCTGATTTCACAAAACCATCTTAATATTCGGAATATCAATCAGTTATAGAAAAACATTCGCATTTCACTTGTTTATTCATTCACATTCATTCACACGTATAAAAGTATTGCGTTTTTCAGCCTCAACGTCACATGCATTAAAATTCATGAAGCAGTTAGCCTTCTAATTAACCCTTTGCACTTGGAAAATATTGCCACGTCTGTTGCCCGTTACAGAGTAATTAAACAAAAAATCGGGAAACGAGTTTACAAGTTATTGACGAAAAACAGTGAGCAACGAGAGGAGGGCTCGTTGGCCCCTCAACATACAGATAAAACGGAATTTGATCTGTCCAATAAATACTATTTAATTTGGCTCAATTGAACAATTATGTGCAAGCTGAGAAAGACAATGTTTTATTTTGAAATTTGGATTACTGATTTGTGGATGCAACTTCGTTATTGGTACTGTCGAAAGGTGGGAGGGTGGGGTATCTTGAATATTGTAAACAAACCAGAATCGACGCACGAGTGAAGTAACTGAGTAACCTAATAATATACTATACGGTGTCCACCGAAAACAGCTCTTGACGAGTTAGACTCGTCAAAATCTACAGTGGCACATGAAATGAATAACGACCCCAACTTGTCATTGTATGTCGAGGGGTTAATAAGAATTAATGTTAAGAACGGAGTGTAAACATTTGACGTGTTTTCCCCACAGTCACAGAATTAACAAATGTTTGAAAGAATGCAATGTTTACAGGGGTCGGTTTACGACTGGGTTCTCTACCACAGGCTCCATCACAAGTTTCACGGAACTGACAAGGATCCCTACAACCACAACAAAGGATTTCTGTATAGCCACTACGTGGGAAATTTCCAATCCCCAAAAGTTGATTACGAAGAGGCGAAAAGAGAAGTGGATATGCGTGACATGGACAACGATTCATTAGTCTGGGTGCAATATAAGTAAGATATCCTTGCGGTGCATATGATTTCAAGCTAATATAACAATTTTACTTTACTAATAATATCTTAATTGTATTATTCTGTAAGAAGTGACAGATCGCATTGATTGTTCTTGTATTGCTCTCAATGATCAATATCTTTGTTAATCAATTAACTCTCTGATCAACGTCTCATACCGTTCTGAAAATCTGTGTACAGTTATTCACAAAATTGAGCGTAGTTATTTAAAACGCAATAACTCCTTTAAAACTGGGCTAAGTGACTTGAATGTTTTTTAGATGATAATTTTCAGCATGCATATATAAATTACCGAGATCTACGAGAAGCATTTTTCTAAATTCCGTTCTAGACACAGATAAAAAAGTTAAAAAACGAGAGTGTTTTATTTTGTTTTTGTTGTTCCAAGTAATAGCAAAATTTAAAGATAGCATTTTGGTCATCGACTAGTAGATTAGTCCCACTATGATCTAAACAAAATTCAAGTCATTTAGTCCAGTTTTAAAAAAGTTATTGCGTTTTAAAAGGTGTACGCTCAATTTTGTGAGTAACTGTAGATCTTCCAGAAAATATACCCATGACAAAATAAAGAATACTAAACATTCATGATGAGTCCCGGACAACGGCGTGACTCATCGCGTCTACCAGATAAATATATTATAATTTTAAATTACGATCAGATAAAGGCTTTTGCGTCGCGTCGCCATCGTAGTTCAGAATTATAATGTCCACACGGTAGACGTGCCACGTCGCTGCGCGAGATTTCCATGCCTGCGTCTGCTGTCCCCACTCCTTGCGTAACTTATTTTCCTGTACACACTGGTCTATGCTCTAGACATACATTTTCGGAGCAGTATTTGGGGTTAGTATCGAGAAAAAGATCGAACCTAAGCAGCTAAAATTTTGCATATACAGGATGTCTCGCTTGAAGTAACAGACTCAATTATCTCTAAAACCTAAACAATAGTTCGTTTCAAAAAATGTTTCAAATGAACCTTATCCTGTATCGAGGGGGGGGCACTCTATAATGGTCGCAAATTTTTGCTGGACGTGCCCCAAGATTTCAAGGTGATCTTAATTTTTTAAAAAAATGGAACTGTATATTTCTTTATGTAAGCACAGATTCTGCATTTCAAGGTCAATTCATCGATCTAAGTACTTTGAAGGTCTTTTAGTGCAAGTTCGCATTAAGTTTACATACGAAACGATGAAATATTGAAGGAAGATGAATGACCTTCAACGATCTTCAAAGTCCAAAGTATTTAGGTCAATGAATCGACCTTGAAATGCACAGTTTGTTTACATAGAAAAAATATAACGTTCCATTAAAAAAAAATCAAGGTCACCTTGAATTCTCGGAAGCCCGTCCATCCAGCAAAAATATACGATCATCATAGGATGTCCACCTAGGAACAGGGTTCGCTTTATTTGACATATTTTTTGAAACGAACTATAGATTACGAGATAATTGAGCGCGTTTCTTCAAATGGTTTATTATAAAGTGTTTTACTGAAAATTGTGGATGTTATTAATAAGTGAGTTACAAATACAGTAACCACACAACTAAATATTTACAATCGATGTCTACGTCATCAACTTAAAATAATCGTCAATGTGTTTACTTTTATTTATGTAGATTCTACTGGCTAATCTTTGGCGTATTTGGATTACTACTACCACTGAACGCGCCGCTGGAGTACTGGGACGAATCCATGGCCAATGTCGTGTTAATTACAGGAATTCTACGGTTTGCCATTACAGCGAACATATCGTGGCTGGTGAACAGCGCTCTGCTCATATGGGGTGACAGCGGAAACAAGTTAATACCCATTTTTGCTACTCTCAGTTTACTGTATAAACTGTTCTTCAATATGCCCAAAAGTCATGGCACCATCGTTATCGATAAAGACGGACTGCACGAGAAATAAAATAAATCGGTATTACTATTGTAAATTCACGAAGCTTGATAAATGTCCATACAGAGGTACAAGGTTACTATAACTGATTTTGTGACTTCGTAAGAGATCAGTGAAATACGTAATTTATAGTAACATCACAAATATAGTAGTAAATTAAAAAATTGATGCAATATTGCTTTGACTTTTCCGATTATTATTTTCTATAATAAATGTCTCTGCAATGTAATTATTAGTTACATTATTCAATGACTACAATGGGACGTGATTTAACTGTAAGATTCATTCGTGTTTCGATATAATTTTCTATCTACTTCCGGTGAATTTATTTCATGTAAATTCGGTGAAGCTTATCTGCGATTTCGTGCGTTAATACTAAACTTATTATGACTATTCATTTTGACCGGTTGCACATTCATACTTTTAAGATTGTTGCAAAGGATTCTTATATATGAAATGATTGAACCGAAATTATTTCTTAATTCGAGCATACATTGTTATAAAATCGATTAATCGCCTAAATAAATTCAGTCTCGCCATTCTATAGGATGACACGCATGAATCGCTTTCGGTGCTCAGTAGGTTTAGTGTTAATTAATGCACGATGACCATTTAGCAAATCAATTTACGATGCTAACCTAACAGTGGAAACGACTTTCATTGTGCACCGATAGAGGACAGCAGTTGCTGATTTTATTACATATTTATGGATCTTTTAAATATTGTATAGTCCAACAACAATTTCGCGTTACGATAACAAGTATTTCTGTAGATTTTAACATGTTGCACACAAATACAAAAATTTACTTTTTCTTTTGTTGATCCGGGGATACCTGAACTTTTAGCAAAAAGTCAAATTTTTAACTTCAAGAATTTTCTCTACTTTAATTATGAAAATTGTACGAATGATTCTTATATAGTTCGATTCTGTAAACTTCTCTAAATCGAAGCACCAATTTTATACGACATTTTCCTATTCCTATTTTAAAAATTAAGTGTCTGATACAAAATCTAATTAGTAACTAATCTAATTAGTTGAACAGCGCATCTTCTTTTAAAAGCTGAAAACGAATTAAAGTGCAGATCTTTTTCTTTTATTATAATTAAAATAAAATTTTTCTGCATGTAATGTGCTGCTGTCTTTCGGGTTTACCGTGTATAAAAAGATAGTATACGCATTAATAGTAAATTCAATACATTAATACCTGTTAAACCATTGTTTTTACAACCGCCGATGATTTTATAAGTAATTACTACAATAAAGTACAGCAATAAGTATTATCACGAATGCAAAACGACTTTCGGGTTCGCAACAAAACTAATAAATGTTGGCCTATTGTTATGCAAACAAACAAAAGAAATGTTAAAATTCGTTGGAGTGTTACAATGTCAACTAAGTCATTCGATCAGAATGAGATATTAATGCAACTGTCGTTGTTTCAGTAGTAAATCTAGTATCAGCGTCTTCGCCATTACTAAGTCTAACTGGCCAAACTACCATTACATGGTTCCATGGGATTGGAAGACCAGCGAATTTGGCAAATACGACGAAGGCTGCGGTACGTTCTTTATAAAGATGTGGGGCGAAATGGGATTTGCCAAAAAAATGCGAACGACTTCTGCCGAGGACGTCGGAGAATTTCTCCACCAAGTTGCAACAAAAAAGACCACCTTGGAGGAAGGACTCCGTCATCTCGAAGAGATGGCTGTGTACAACGCGACGAAAGAGCTATTGGAGATTAAAAAATAATATCTTTAAACAGGCACGCTTTTCATTTACTGTTTAAAGCACGACCATCTTCTGCAACCTTGTTGATTGGATAACGAAATTATCTTTAAGTAACGTGATCGTCGATTAAAAACAATGAATCATTTAGCGAAACAAATTACAAATTACTTTTATAAAAAAAGCAATAAATAAACTTGAACAATTGTATTTGGCATTAAGTTCAACATTAACAATTTAATATCACAAGCTGCGAAAGTTCAATTATTCAGTATTGAATTAAAATGTCTTCATACCTATTATACTTGATACACAAGCATTACGAGTAATGTTTAATATTCACTGTAAAAAATGGGGTGGATTTTAAGATACTATTTTCAAAATAATTCATCTATACAGTATAAAAAAAATGTGCCCATAATTTGCTCGTTGATAAATATCTGGCCGAAATGAACATACTATGAATGTATATGCAGCCTTTAATTTCTATCAGAAACAGCAATTCTTATTATTAACTACTATAGCCTTCCATTATTGATGAATCAGAAAGTACTGTAAAACGTGGAAAATTGATAAATTGGCGTTACGTTAAATGAGAATTTACGATTTTTGTGAGAAAGGATAATTTAAATTATTCTTTTTATATATGCTTTACATCTATCAATGACAGTTAGCTGTTCTTTAGATGAGATTTACTGATTGATTTTTTACTAGCAGAAAATACACTATTTCTGTAAATATGTATCTGCATTTTTTACCTATCATTACACCGGAATCCATAAAAAGCAGCCAATAAATTGAAATAATTCGTTTCAAAATGAAGAAGGAAACAAAAGTAGATACGACTAAACTCTTTATTTCATACCATGTATGCTTTTATTGAAGCTAAAAGGACCAAACGTGAGCAGACTTATGCACACATCTAAATTACAATTGTTTTCAAATGAAAGAGCAAAACAAATGAGAAAAAAATTATTTCTTCCGCATTACTTAAAAATCAATTCAAAATTCTGTCGCAATGGGAAGAGGACCAAACCACCGCAAGTCCGGTCTTGTAACAAAACAAAATATATTTTTTTTCTTTATCCTGGTAACAGCGCACTTTTCTTTCAAAGATAAGATTAATCCTTAGATCTAATCGCGATAGTTTTTCGATATCCGCACTGTTTACCTTGTGAACAGACACATATAGAATTTTTCTTAGAAAAAGGTGGTTGCCCGTGTGTGCAATTTCTGTGTACGTGTGTATCACTAATCGAAAAACTCTACGGACGCGTCTAACGCAGTTCGAAGTTATGAAGTACGGTGTGGTCTCATTGTGACACTGGAACTACAACCGATTATAACACGAAATTACACTTTTCAACGCCGATGTGTCGCCATTGTGCGCCGCGAACCGCCGTGAAAAGACCGAAAACGCCCCGCATTTCCGGCGCGTTAATCATTCCTTCAAACTATAATACGGAAAGCACACACGTTTTATGTAGTCTGCACTCATACAACTTAGGAGACCAAGGAACAGAGGGTAAGAGAAAGAAAAACTATTGTCATGGAAGGGTGAGAATGCAAGATCGCACAAATTAACAGTTCTAAACAATTTCAGACGCCTTTGAAAACGAAAGTAATTCAGCCGATGCGATTTGATTCGAATAAAACAGTTTCATTCTTGCTGTTGAGATAGGACGGAGGTATGTACCTTGAAAATCTGTTACCAAAATATTTGAAAATATTACTTTTGTTATTCTTACATTGTGAAAGTTAGGACGGGGACCCATAAAGAGACATGGAAATTTCTTAGTAAACTTCTGAGCATTTTCTTCTTCTTCAAAAATAAAGTTTTATTTGTTATGGTACTTCTGAGCACACGACCCTTTCAACGAAAATCGTTGTATTTATAATTTTCTCTTTTTGACGTTACTATTTCAAGGGCAGAGTAGGGACTGGTCAAAAGTGTCTACTAAAATATACTTTCATTCCGTTCGAGTATTCATTAAAAATCATTCTACTCTCTGTGGGTAGATTCGATTAGGACATTGCGACGATCGAAGAGCTTTTCAATTAATTTTGCGGAGTTGTATAGAATCGGGTTTTTGTTTCTCTTAATTTATTGTATTGCAGTATGATATCTTGCAAAGAATCGTACAAATCGCATACATAAATCGCAATTACGAACGTTTCTCCGCTTGGAGTAACCAAACTGTTCATCGCGTCAACTTCTAACTGGTTCGATCTCCGGCTACTCGGTTAAATTTGTTCACAAATTGCCACCCGAAGTGCAGCTATCTTCGCTTAATCGTGCTAGTCCCAAACCGATAGATATAGTTAAGGATGCGTAATGATCGCCTTTAATTCTAGGAAGCGTGAAATATCGTCTTGTTTTTTTTGCATTCAGGTACCTGATAAGCTTTTCATAAGCTTGTTCACGTTTGCAAGTCGATGCAACGCGTGTAGTAACTGTGCTATATCGCAAGATAAACTACTCCTCGTTCCACAATCTACACCGCATACAATTTTGGAAGAAAAGTTCGACAAACGAGCAAATATAAAATCGACCAATCAGTTCTACGAATCGGATATTCAGAATGCAAAGCCGTTAACTAAAAGAGCTTGTACGAGGAGTAGTTCACATGCATCTCGAGGTCTTTGACTTTCGGGGAATTTAGGCGATATTCATTATAGTGAAGGATTGAAGGTAATGAAAGGGGCAGAAACAAGAGAAGGTAAATAAAGCCACAGATTTGTAAATATGAACATCCCGCTGTTCTTCATTGCGTCTACGAATGGTTCACTGATCTTTTCGATACTAGAATTCGAATTTCATAGCCAATCCTACAGCTGAATCTAACAATATTAGACGGCTAGTCGGTGCCAAAAAGAATCAAGTGATATTCGCCGTGTTTCGGCAATGTGCTCTATTTGAAATAGTTCTGCGCTGACAGTACCTGTCGCCCCATACCTAGTCGCCCCAAAGTTGACCAACAAACGACGGAATAACATTAAATAAAGCCTATTACTAACGATAAACGCGTCTAAGCGCTGATTGAAAAACCAAAGAGAAGGTGGACGAGATGAACATTTTACGGTCGAGGAGCTTCGATAGAGTTCATTATCGACTTAATCTCACCACCCGCAGGGCGAACTACTGAACTATTTGTCGGATAATCAATCGACGTTTCTAAGAGATTTGAATCAATCAAACCGCGATAGTTGAACGTAACCTTATATCATCGTTATGATCTAGAACGCAATCGCAGAACCAAGGTACGATCAGCTGCCGATCGAGGCTACTGACTTTCTTCGAAAATCACCGAGGACATTTAGAACCCGCCAAATAATCCATCAAATCGATCGCGTGATCGTAATACCAGCTGCATTATTAAATAGTTTCGGAGCAGAAATCAATGTTCACGCTATGGACAACAACAAACTGTACAATGATCGTTCGTCTGATTGCTTTTATTCCAGTTTCGTTTATCAGTTTTCGTTTTTGCAGTGACCATTTATATCAAGTTCAGATCGCACTCCGATTGGACACCGTGCATGATTCAAATGATTGCGTTCGATCGGTTTCGCAGAAAATCAAACTGGCATTCCCGCAACCGCGTAACTAAAAAGATTACATGATATTCCGAACTGTTCCGATTAGTTTCTCGGATAGCTCAACCCGGCCCCGTCCTAATAACTGTACAAAGAGCTAGCGGCCGGTCGTTTAACGCGACAACGATCGGCCAGCTAGCGGATCGGATCTAGTAATTTTTTTGAAGAGTATGCGTCACTATCGTCTGGTCCCTGTCAGCCTGCGTCTGATCCTTGTCGCCCCAGCCCCAGAGTTCGTGACTACCGTCGCCCGTTCGTTCCACTCGTTTCTGCACCATATCTCTCGGAACTAGTTTCAGATCATACGCCAGGCCAAGCTTCGCGCATAAGTCAATGAAAGCTGTCGTCAGGTTGAATTTGTAGTCGCCCAATTCGGCAGTTTTGTAGTCCCAGGGGAACACGTGGTGATAGTTGTGCCAGCCTTCGCCGAACGCTGTTAGAGCCACTGCTTTGTTCTCAGAGGGATTGATAAACCTAGAATAAATTAAACAATGTCGTTTAATGTTGGACTCGAATGTAGGGTATACAGCCTGTACTTGGGGATCGTCACCAACAGTACTTCTATTATAAACTTACAACAGATTAGAAGTGCAGTCTCAAAATTCGTGTTTCATAATTCTTAGCACAAATTTGATCTGGTAAATTTTACGAACCGAAATAAGACGAAAATCATGAAGAACGAGATTGAATGAAAACAAACTAAATTCAATGAAAAATACACTGATTATCTTATTACCCCGCCTTTAATGTATTCTTCGATCGTGTTATGATACAATACGTTTTTCTTATTGAGAGATAGCATTGTATCTTAACTATATAAAGAAAACTAAATACAAGGTAATAGAAACTCAAATAAATGTAAAATGATGTGCTTTTCTTGGGTCCTTGTTTTAATAAACACATAAATAATGATTTCATGAATTTCTAACATATTCAGATTAACAGAATTCTGTTGCGTTTTTGAACTACTATACTTAACCGACTACGCCAATCTCTTCTAGACATCAAGATTGGACATTGAAACAGGCGTAATTATGTATTTCCTGGTTAGAAGGTATAATTATAGATAGTAAAAAGTCTTTTATGTCTCAGATACGTTTCTCAGTTACGTATTTACTGGTTATATTTGAATAAAAAAAATTGACAAGTTTCTAGCCTGCTTCTGTTATTACCCACTCTCTGCTCTTCTTCGCATCTAGAAACTTCTTTCCGTGCGAAATAATGCACAGATAATAAGTAGACTGCGGACTTCATGCACATATGACAAAAATGATTAGGTGCAATTTAAAACAGTTGTAATATTAGAACGGTTGAAGAATTATTATTATTATTATTATTATTATTATTATTATTATTATTATTATTATTATTATTATTATTATTATTATTATTATTATTATTATTATTATTATTATTATTATTATTATTATTATTATTATTATTATTATTATTATTATTATTATTATTATTATTATTATTATTATTATTATTATTATTATTATTATTATTATTATTATTATTATTATTATTATTATTATTATTATTATTATTATTATTATTATTATTATTATTATTATTATTATTATTATTATTATTATTATTATTATTATTATTATTATTATTATTATTATTATTATTATTATTATTATTATTATTATTATTATTATTATTATTATTATTATTATTATTATTATTATTATTATTATTATTATTATTATTATTATTATTATTATTATTATTATTATTATTATTATTATTATTATTATTATTATTATTATTATTATTATTATTATTATTATTATTATTATTATTATTATTATTATTTATGTATTATAATATGCCATTTTCAACTTATTGAAGTTATTAAAGAAAGATAGAAATACTTAAATGACTTCTATTTCTTGCAACGAACGCAGAACATCCTTATTTTACATATGAAGATCCGCAGTCTAATAAACAAGTGATCTTTAATTTTTTGATCTTAAATAGGACGACTCCATTTCAACAAAAATTACCGTTTGTCTAAAGTTACTGTTCAAAATTGGTTACTTTATGCGTACATTAAGCGAAAATACAATTAACACATCGATTTTCGAATTAATTTTTACGTGACTATATCAGTACCGTAACGTTGTTAGAACGTGAAAATTGTAAGAACGTTGAAGGAGTATACAGTATCGTACATTTTAACTTTCTAATCTTTATTCCAACAAAATTGATAGAATTTCCAAGATTGCCAAATCGGTCATCGACGTGTTAATGGATCTTCGGCGAGCAAACTTTGAACAGGCAGCTATACCAACCTATCGTATGGTTTGTTGCCTATGAGATGGGCAGCGGAGTTGACCAGCCACGTGGCATTCAGCGTGAAGACGTAACGCAGGATCGTAGGTATGAAGTAGGCATTCATCCATGTTTCCTCCCATAGGACAACAGGTATGACAGTCGGTACAACGAAACACATTAACGGCATCAGATAAACGTAGTACCTGTGAACATATTATATTATGAAAGGCGCTTCGTGTAGAATTGCAGCTTCCATGCTCTAAAATCGTGGAATCTGTTCGAAACAAACAACTCATAATGTAAACGCTAAGTTGCCGAAAGTTGTCGGGTCAGAAACTTCCGAGAGTCGATTAAACCAGGAGATACAAACTTGACGCGGTTAATCGGAGGATCTCTCGGATCTGCGTCAGATAAACGTCAACAGAAAAATAATAGTATTGCGTGTTATAGCCTCAACGTCACATGCATTAAAATTCATGAAGCAGTTAGCCTTCTAATTAACCCTTTGCACTTGGAAAACATTGCCACATCTGTTTCCCGTTACAGAGTAATTAAACAAAAAATCGGGAAACGAGTTTACGAGTTATTGACGAAAAACAGTGAGCAACGAGAGGAGGACTCGTTGGCCCCTCAACATACAGATAAAACGGAATTTGATCTGTCCAATAAATACTATTTAATTTGGCTCAATTGAACAATTATGTGCAAGCTGAGAAAAAGAATGTTTTATTTTGAAATTTGGATTACTGATTTGTGGATGCAACTTTGTCATTGGTACTGTCGAGAAGGCGGGAGGATGGGGCATCTTGAACATTATAAACAAACCAGAATGTGAAGCAACTAAGTAATCTAATGATATATACTATATGGCGTCCGCCGAAAACAGCTGTTGACGAGTTAGACTCGTCAAAGTCTACAGTAGTACATGAAATAAGTGACGACCCCAACTCGTCATTGTATGTCAAGGGATTAATAACTTGTAAACAAATCCGCGTATTGCATTTGCGCTAAGGAAAAAGTTACTCCAAATGACTTTAGGAACCCTACGTTTCCCGATTTTGAGTAACTCTTTGGAAGTCCTATATATTTTCTATAACGTACTATACTACGTATTATACATTATTATGTATTATGCATTACGATTCATTGTTACTAATTGAAGAGCTTTTTAATCGAGACTACCGTTCGACAATTGTAATGCCCGATGGACACGCATTCAAATTGATTGTTATATACACGTAGAATGAGCATCCAATGAAATCTATAGACTTACTTCTTTTGGAACGCTAGGATAGGGTTGTTCCTCAGATCGTCCATATCAATTCCCTTTCCCTTAGTTTTGATGTCTGGGTGTTTCCTGACGAGCAGCCAACCAACGTGCGCGAAGAAGAATCCTCTTGTCGCGTTGTGGGGGTCTGCGTTCGTTTCGCTGTATTTATGGTGAAGTCTGTGATCCCTGGCCCAGTCGACCGCCGCATCCTGTTGATCAAGAAATTAGTGGGAAATTAATTAGTATTTGCCGAACACCTGATTGCGCAGAACTCCGGAATAGTCGAATTTATAATACCGCCTCGATATATGTACATTATTTATTTATTATAAAGTAATAATATATATATTATTAATATATATTAATATATATATATATATATATATATATATATATATATATATATATATAAATAAAAGGAAACAATCGTATCACGAATTCGAATCTAATCGAATTATTTACAGACTGCTTAACAATAAATGTTTTCCTTCGATCACAATAACATTAAAATTATAAACCTAGCTCATAAAATATCAATGGTACGTAAGACTGCGATTTGAAATGGAAAAACACAAAATATGCATAATTATACTCGATAAAAAAGCTGGTAGATGATTTATTGTGACCTGTGAAATTGTATTGTTTTGCCTGTGACATTTATTCCTTGTTGCATAACAGTAGGTAATATAACCTTGTGAACCGGTCTACGGTAAGAAATGATTAAGCGAGCGAAATCGTCCACTTACTTGGAATGCTATCGTGTTCATGATCACCAAAAAAAGTTCCATCGGCCATTTTGCTTTGTATGCTCTGTGCGCCCATAATCTGTGAGCACCGGCTGTGATTCCCAAGCCACTCCCTAGGTACAGGCTGAAAGCTGTGAACACACAGAAAAAAGAACGAAAGTCCAATTAACAACTAAATATCCAAAATAACAATTAAATCTGTGCAGCACTAAAAAGTGATCAGTTTACACCCTTCTTACATCCTAACTTTATAGAAGTTATAGAAATGTATTTACATACTTGGACTTTTAGCAATTTGTATCATAGTACATATAAAAGAAATTAATTGGTAATTCAATTGTAAAATCAAGAATGTTTATTAAATAATTGTAAATTACAGAATTTATTATTGACTATCTTTCGCAAACGTATGTAACTGATGAATGCTCAGATAAAATTCATCATTTATTTATTGGAATTACATGCAAATTTTCGATTTAAAGCAGTGCGAATGGAATCGAAAGCTCGTTATATTCACTGTTACTGTTATTATTCTACGATGCGCAAATGTTTCAAGAGAGAAATGCTATTATCCAATTTCTTAAAGTATTAGACGATATTAAATAAAATCTTGGAAGATTATTTCAAAATAGGTATCAATTTTTAAACGAAAATCTGTATATAAAACAATATTACGAATCGGTAAAATTGTAGGAGGTGAATTTGTTGACAAGCTAATAGAAATTGATCGATTTATTGATTTTACAATTTAAGGAAAACTTGATTAAGGAGCTACATTATATTTAAAATACATATAACGAAGACTCTTATTCGAGATTTCGAATTAAAGTTTTCTTTTATGATACTGCCATCATACAATATTATACTGCTTGTTCAATGTGTCGAAATACGATGCACTTGCATGCATCAGGTATACGCACGCACACGTACACGCACAAAAGCATGGTATTGTATTATTATATATAAGAACAATTTTCCTTAAAATATATTTGAAAAATTATTTAACCTACTGAGTGTCGATCAAAAAATTCGTATTTATCTGAGCGAAATATATCAAACCTGTAGTTCGTAAAGTTTCGGAAAGAAATTATAAAAATTTTGTAAAACTTGATAATTAGAAAATTCAAAAAGGGGAAGAAGAAATAAGAAATGAAACTATTGTCTATTAAAAATATTAAGAGAACAACATTTCCTCGAGCGTAGCCAACAACGGTATATCAAATACAAGATAAGCAATACACAATAGCTTCAAAGTTCTCTCCTTTAATGACTAAATAATGAAATAATCTATGAAGAATTATTTGCAAATATAAGAATAATTAATATCGTAACTTATCTCAAATACATTATTTGATCAATGCTGAAACGTTCTGCATCAACGTAACATGACCATGTCATACGTCGTTATTATTCGTTCACTTTCTGCAACGACGCATTGCATTGATCGTGCTAGCTACATTTCACGAACTCAGCCGACTTTTCAGAATTTGTGATCCAATTAACTTGTAACTTCTGTTACTCGAAGCGACACGAGTCACGCGACTATGGACTGTTAATAAAATTCGAATGGGAGACTGAGAATTGCAGTGTCTGCATAACAATATATGGAATGGCGGGTAGTACTAACGCAGAATTCGCAATCTACGGCGGTTGGATTTTCCAAGCTGGAGAAAACTTACCGAAAAATAGTGTCATCCACTTAGCGGCAGTCAAGGAGAGGTACACGCCATAAAGCGCCCCAAGATGGAGGAACGAGAAGATTATGACATTTCTCCAGACGATCTGTCGCTTATACTTCGTTTTCGACTGATCACCAACTTCGTTCTGTTCCCCTTCGAACAATACTCCCGTCGGGCCATTCGTGATGTTTGGCGCCATTTTCTTCTCGCTTCTGCAAAGAAATGATTGTTGTTGTTAAAAGGGTGACGAACGAAATCATTTATTTACTGTGAATTTTCGAATACGCAATAGTCACTATTATGACCTAACGTTGACCGCTCAAGCCGCTTCAAACGCGGGCAAACATCCTAAACAGGTGCACACCACGCACCGTAAACCAAGAAACTCTAGTAGTCGCTTTCTATCACCACCAACATACAACACATCATCGTCAACCGATAGATATCTCACTCCGTTTCGATGCTGCAAAGTATAATTGACTTTCACTTGCCACTTTAAAAAATAAAATTAAATATCGAACATATTTCAGTGCTACTTTTCTGTATCACTTCGAAGACTCTCTTAAAGGCAAATTGTTCTGTAAATTGTCCTTCTTCACGTAGTCTTAGAATATTGGTTGCTGTCATTTCCTTATATATGTAACGTCATATTCTCGCTATTCGTGCATATCCTAGAAAATTTAACTGTATTTAGAGGAACGTTGTTCTGACGGAAGAACGATCGATAATCATTCCCTCGACTATTCAACTCGTAGCACAATTGAACCTTGTCGTGCAAAGATTCGAAACAGCCATTAAATCCGTGAGTCATTTTATTGAATCGCTACAAGAGCACTGGAATAAATTTCAATTGAAGTCTTCCAACGAAATTCGCAGAATTCCGTAAAGAAGGCTTTCATTTTCTCCCATTATCGCTTCGAGTGTTATCGAACTTGAAAATTACTATCTATTACAATCTATTAAGTAAACCCAACTTTGTCGTATTAGCTGGACAATTGCCACAATAAATCTTATCCCTTCTACTACTATATTATTAAAGAAATCGTTGTGTCTTCAAAGTGTCTTATCCTATTTCGATTGGAACATCCGTATGTAAGGATTACGAAATTACATTTAAATCATCTTTTCGCAAGTGCAACGAATACGGATGCAAATCGTTCGAATTAATTGAAGTCAGTATCACCGTGTGAATAATTACTTAAGCCACGCGGTCGCCGTTCGGTGCACGATAAGATAAGTTTTGCCACATACGTTTAAGCTGTTTCACGTGTCAAATAAATCACGCTGGTAAAAATGAAGTATATTTGCAGAAAAAGGCAAAGAAGGCACCGATGTGTATTAAAAGTAACGAACGAAGCGGAATATCATTCGCGAAGATCTTAAACGAACATAAACACCATTTTTTGTTTACTCTTTAGATATGCATCGAACTTTTTATTAATCGATTCCGTTGATCTTAGTACGTTTGGAATCGATTAAAAGATTAACAAGGAACTCGGCATTCTGGAATCATAATCCTCGTTAGTTCACTGTCTCCCTTGTTTGTTATCTCAGTTCGTACCGCCGAAAAGTTTCCGTCGCCGGTCACGATCTCTGATTGAAGTGGGAATTTCGATCGCGAACGAATTACAAGAAGCGATAACGAATGTTTGATCTCGCGCGACCCCAATTATTCAATGTTTATCGGCAATTAGATACATTGGCAGTTATAATACGTTGCGACGGAGACAGTGTGCAATAGAACGAGATAATGAATCATCCGAATACAAATGCCGTCCATTGATCAAATGCTTGCTGTGATACAGGATCTTCTTAGCCGAACAAATTAACAGCAGTAACGGTCGAACCCATCAAATGACGGATTTCCGATTCTCGATCGCACGATTATTCAGATTATAAAGATCCTTTTGCTATTTATTCTGGTATATTGCTATACTAGAAATCGTGCAGCGTCTCAGTAAATGTGATCTTGATTCTAAAAAGCAACACACGCTTGGTCACTCGATGTGCCCGGTTGACCGAGTGTAAAAGTCAACGAACTTAAAAAGTTCTCCGAACTTGAAGCGAGATATATAGAAGTACAGAATTAATCTTCCGATCAGCGCGACTCGGTCTCCTTCGACTACGCTAATCATATTCATTCGTTCTAAGTGTATGCAAGTCCAGGACGCGCGTAGAGCCGAGTGATGCACCGAGCTCCATTCAAGTTCTGAAGAAAAAAGTGACACAGAAAGAAACTGATCAAACGGGAACCGGTGTTGGAACGAGACTCGTTTATTAGCCTCGCACACGTTCGATCGTTCCGACGAATCGTTCCAGTCCGTTGCGAGAATGTCGCAAACCATGAAACCGAATCCAAAGAGAACAACAGCAGAACGAAGCAACGACGCGAAATAGAAATCAGAGATTACTTAGTCGGGGGTATCGCGTCAACCCATTTGTACGGTTGGCTGAATTTTTACGGTTCGAAACAACTTCATCGAGAAAATGGCCCTTCTGTTTATTACATAAGAGGAGAAACAAATAAAAATAGCTTCACAAACCAATTCCAAGCAACGCGCTGCACAAAACGACTGACGGTTAGGCGATCGCGTTTCGTTCTCCCTCGCGATGCAAATGGGTCAACCCTCTGCGGTCCAAAGTGTTCCCTTTTACATCAGAACTTCTCTACAACATTATATAATCCAATGTCTAACCTTGCAACCCGTTAGCTGAGAAATACTCCGATGATTTTCGTTTGCCGATTGTGGGATTATTCGTGAATGCAATGCAAGTCGGGAAAAGATGTAACGAGTCTCCCTCGACGTAGGACCGCAATGGATTGATAGAAATGGCGATCTTACCTGTCTGTCGGTCGGCAGGTTCACATACCATCTGGGTCTTACATTCTAGGTCATCATCCGGTATCACGTGCGAACGTCGCGAAACGAAGCCGACCGACCTGTCCCGCGTCCTCCCAACGGAACATCCTCGCGAGATCGATACGAACGGCAAAAACGATGCTCTCGACCGGGCCTGGGAGTTTCTGGGCCACCCATGATCTTCGTCGTTAGGCGGATATCACCGAGGCGCAAAAAAACAACAACAACAACGACAACGTCTAAACCGTCTAAAGCGATGCTGATCCCTACCCGAGACGATCTCCGGGGATTCGGCTTTGGTCAGAGCATCGGCGTGAACTGCAGGTTGGCTAATTACTGGGTGCAGGCACCTGTAAAGCCTCGTTCAACGGAACATCGAGGACCCTTAGAACGCAAACAGGAAATCTCGGTCCGATACCAGAAATCCGTCGGATTCAAGCTGACCGAAACCCGAACGAGGTCGCCTATCGACTGCCGAGAAAATCGCGTGGACGTCCTGCCGGCGCAGGCTCGTTTGGCGCCGGGAGTCCGACCATGGCGACTACGATTATTCTACTCGAAATTTTCAGCGGGTATCTTGAACCCCTCGCCCTCTCCCTCCATCATTTACGAGCCAGGCTAGACTGTTTTCCGTTGCCTTGGCATTATGCTGTCAGCGTTACTCTTCTCGCCACTTTCGGACGATTAGATCTGTCTTTGCCGCGGTTGTGTAATCGGCCCTCCTTAGTTAAGCCTTTGCCCTACAACCACATCTGAGAGACGTGGTCTGATAATCGGGCCAGAAATGATTATCACGTCTGAGAGACGTAGTTAAAAAATCCAAATGCCCCGTAGCCAGTCGCGGATTGCATTTTCGCTAAGGAAAAAGTTATTTCAAATGATCTCAGGAACCCCCCATTTTTCCGGATTGCCAAACATTTTTGGGACATCCTGTGTATGTATATGATCCACAAATATTGATAGTTCCAGAATTTTTGGAATGTTTGTGTTGGCGATCATCTCTTGTCAGTTACATTTAGTTTCCTTTTGAATAAGTACAAAATCAGGAGAAAATCTACCTTGTATGGCCGCCGAGTGTCTGCTATAAGAGAAATCTCGAGGCTAAATTACTGGCAGTTCGATCGAGCAGACTTCTGATTGTTGGAGCTATCAACATGGTCCCACAGGGTTTGTTGCTCACTTACGCAACAAAGATGCCCGGATTTGTATGACACGTTCCGACGTTCCGCGCCGACAACGCTTCCGCGACACACGATGCCCACGCGACGCTCATTCGTCATCGTTATCAAAAGAGACACGATAAACCGATTCACGCTAATACATGCACGTGATCATGTAAAATTTCCAAAAATAAATATATCTACTTGTCGAAGGGGGAACCTGATTGACGATCAAAGGTCGGATTCGATGTACAGACTCAAGTCGTCGCGATCGCTCTCTGTCCTCTCATTATTCATTTCTTTTCGATTGTCTTCTTAACAGAGGATTACCAACATTTCCCGTTTTTTTAGTTCGATTCTATATTAACATTGTCAGCCGATGCTATCAAGCATCCACGTTATACGAATAACGAGATTTAATTTATTTAGACTTTTCACCACATTTATGAGGTATAACTAATTCACAATGCTGTAATAGGTTTCTATTATACTTCTGTTANGATTATTCTACTCGAAATTTTCAGCGGGTATCTTGAACCCCTCGCCCTCTCCCTCCATCATTTACGAGCCAGGCTAGACTGTTTTCCGTTGCCTTGGCATTATGCTGTCAGCGTTACTCTTCTCGCCACTTTCGGACGATTAGATCTGTCTTTGCCGCGGTTGTGTAATCGGCCCTCCTTAGTTAAGCCTTTGCCCTACAACCACATCTGAGAGACGTGGTCTGATAATCGGGCCAGAAATGATTATCACGTCTGAGAGACGTAGTTAAAAAATCCAAATGCCCCGTAGCCAGTCGCGGATTGCATTTTCGCTAAGGAAAAAGTTATTTCAAATGATCTCAGGAACCCCCCATTTTTCCGGATTGCCAAACATTTTTGGGACATCCTGTGTATGTATATGATCCACAAATATTGATAGTTCCAGAATTTTTGGAATGTTTGTGTTGGCGATCATCTCTTGTCAGTTACATTTAGTTTCCTTTTGAATAAGTACAAAATCAGGAGAAAATCTACCTTGTATGGCCGCCGAGTGTCTGCTATAAGAGAAATCTCGAGGCTAAATTACTGGCAGTTCGATCGAGCAGACTTCTGATTGTTGGAGCTATCAACATGGTCCCACAGGGTTTGTTGCTCACTTACGCAACAAAGATGCCCGGATTTGTATGACACGTTCCGACGTTCCGCGCCGACA